CCACCACCACCACCACCACCACCAACACCACCCGGCTCTTTCTCTTTCTTAACTTTTGTTTTATTTCCTTCACTCTGCTGTGTATAGGCAAGGATTACACAGATTTTTGTTTCATTCTTTTATTCAACTATGTTTCATTCAATTGTTTTCTTAGGCTGTCTTTTAACAACAGTTTACAAGTCATGCAACATGACTCTTACTCTCCAAAAATATTTTCAACACTGTTTTGCAGTGTTGTTAACAGTAGTAGTAGGGATGATGTGGGAGCATGTACAAAGATAGTTTAATTAAACAGACTTAAACAGCACTGAAGTCTTATTGCTGAATTTTATTTTTCCTAATAGATCTATATCTACCTTTTTTTTTTTCTTTTAAAGTTTTTTTGAGACAAGTTTTCTCTATGTAGTTTTGGTGCCTGTCCTGTATCTCGATCTGTAGACCAGGCTGGCCTCACTCACAGAAATCCGCCTGGCTCTGCCTCCCAAGTGCTGGGATTAAAGGTTTGTGTCACCGCCACCCAGCTTATATCCACCTTTTAATTATAAAAATTGCAAAGGCTCACTGTAAAAAATGAACAGTTTATAAAGTATACAAACAGAAGTGAAAGGTAAGTCTTCCTGGTTGGGAGGGTTGATTAAAACATACTTCTCCTAAATTTGAGTTTATCTAAGTGTAAAATGTATTTGATGATCAAAGGCTCATGGAAATTCTGCACAGCTGATGGAAGAAAGAAGATTCAAACAGAGGACAATGACAGTGCTCTCCATAAGAAAACAGCACACTGGGCTGGAGAGATGGCTCAGAGGTTGAGAGCACCGACTGCTCTTCCAGAGGTCCTGAGTTCAATTCCCAGCAACCACATGGTGGCTCACAACCATCTGTAATGAGATCTGGCGCCCTCCTCTGTATACATAATAAGTAAATAAATCTTTTTTAAAAAAAAAAGAAAGAAAGAAAGAAAGAAAACAGCACACATGGAGTGTTTCTGGGAGTGAGAGATGGAGGAGGTAACAGTTCCAGTATGGTCTGACTGAGAGCAGCTTAGCAGAAATACAGTAAAGCCTTTCTCTCCCCTCCCGACCACTTTGTTACCTCGTCCAAACTGGTCTTGAACCGGCAATTCTTAAGCATCAGTTTCCCAGGTGTCCTGGGTGCTGGGTTTGTATTTGCTGGGTGTCCATTTAGGAACTCCTTTTATGTAAACAATAATATAACAATCTCAGCCATACCTTTCATAGTTCTAGAAGGTGACATGCAGGCTGCTATGGGAGAACTGTCATCAACAGTCTTCCTCAACAACGGATTCTGTGTGCCAACTTCAAGCAAGATGTGCCCGCTTGTGCAACAGTGGTGTGACCGTGGTGGGGATAACCAACCACTTTATGGTTGTATTTGATGCCCATTCCACAGGAAGGAATTCATGTTTAGCACTGTAAACCTGGTCAAAAGCACACGTCTGGGAAAGTCACAGGCCATAGTAGGGAAACTACCGTTGTTTTGCCAAATGGACATCATGTGTCTGTATAATTACCTTCTAAATAATTATGTTTATGCCAATATCAAAGAAACTTCTTTTTTAGTAGGCAGTGGTTACTGCAGAGATTCATAACTAGTCAAAGTTCTGATAAGTAACTACTCAGTCCTAAGTGGGAAAACTACTTCATTCACCCCCTTCAAGGTCAGAGAACCACACAGAACAGAGGCAGAACGAATGCTAGAGTAGAGAGGAGACAGACTGTTACAGACCCCTGTCTTCTGGGCAGGAGATGCCCACTGCACTCTTGAACTACCAGCAGCAGCAGCAGTAATGATCTGAACAAGACGTACAATATCAGGCTCATCAGCTTGTGATGGGCATAAAGGGACTCACAAAGTTGGTTGCTGGGGGAAGGAGAGACATTTTCTTCACTGTTGTAACCACTGGTAATTTGCTCATGCTCCTGTAGATAACCCTGCTTACACTCACTGGGTGACCAACACAGAAACAAATATCAAAGTAGAAAAGGACTACTTGGGAAGAGAAAGGGGATCAGCAGAAGTGGGAGGGGGAAAGAGGGTAAGATAGGAACTCTAGCTTGTCACATCACATCTACAGTCAAGAACAGAGAGAAAAGAGCCATGCTGCCTGCTTATGTAGGCAGCTTTCTTCATTTTAAATACAGTGTGGGGCCTAGCCCATGCAACAGTACCACCCACAATGAGGTAGGTCTTCCAACATCAAGTAGCAAGACAATCCCCACAGGACAACCTGATCTAGATAATTTCCCATTAAAACTCTCCTCACAGTTAATTCTAGGTTGTATCAAGCAAACAGTTAAAATTATCCAGTTTAGAGGGAGACCCAAGAAAGTGCCTGGACCTTTGAGAAGGAGCCATTCATTTACATACATATGTATTTATATATGTGTATATATAATATATATTTTATATATGTGTATATAATATATAATGTATATTATATATATGGGATTATGTGATAATTAGGACACATAGGAACTCACCAAGTGTTTGATAAATTGATTTAACAGCAATCTTAAAATAAAAAAGTATCAGACAATTCAGCACAAAATTCTCATCTGAAGGAAGACCGCCATCCATCAAAATAATGTATTATTGAGCCAAGTCTATTACGACACAAATGGTATAAGGGGCCCCGCCTAAGACTCTGCATGAGACATAAGCTTTTCCTTCAAAGAGCTTACAGTCCAGATAGGATGTAAAAACAATTACCAAAGCACATAATAAAAACCATTTTCAGGACAGGATCGCTAAAGAAATCATGTATCTGGAGGTGATAGAGGAGATGGTCATTGAATTCAGTCTTTGATGAAGGGGATGATTTGTAGTAGGAGAGAACACATTCCAAGGGAGTAAACCCTAGTACAAAGCCAGGGATAAAGATGGTGGGTTGGTGTTGGAGAGGTAAGGCAATAATGCTGCTTACACTGACCAGCTAGAGAACCAAGCTGAGAGCCCAGACCTCACACACACTGTGCATCCAAGCATGGGGGTGGGAACTTCTCCTACAGGCGGTAGCCTGTGAAAGGAAGGAAGGGCGTAGGGCATGGCAAATGAAGAAAACATTCACGGACACATGCTTAGGGAGGTAATTACACACAGGGTAGCCTGGAGAACGGGAAGACATTGATCTGAGCCATTTCTGGAAGGGTTTAGAGGAAGCCAGAGTTCCACTACTGAGAGACTAATGATTACTTGCTGTTGTTACCAATAAATTTTAAAAACATTAAATAAAAAAATACCAGGTTGCTTGTCCTAAATTGTGTAATAATCTCAAGAGCTTGACAATTGTGTTGAGAAAGCAGTTCTGTGTTCTAGTTTTTAAGTGTGACTGAAAAACACTCTAGACAGACAAATTGTGAAATTTTCAAGAAAGAAATTTCAGAGAAGACAAATTCTTCCCTGACAAAGAACATGGAAAAAAATATTCTTAAAAATGAGCACATCAGATTAAACCTAGCAGACATACAATATAATGTGCAAAAGCTAAACCAAAAACCTTGAAGTAAGGTAGGTTGGTATGAAGTGAGGCAGGATGGTATGAAGTGAGGTAGGACGGTATGAAGTGAGGTAGGGCGGTGTGAAGTAAGGCAGGAAGGTGTGAAGTGAGGTAGGACGGTGTGAAGTGAGGTAGGGCGCTGTGAAGTGAGGTAGGACGGTATGAAGTGAGGTAGGGCGGTGTGAAGTAAGGCAGGAAGGTGTGAAGTGAGGTAGGACAGTGTGAAGTGAGGCAGGACGGTGTGAAGTAGTGAGGCAGGACGGTGTGAAGTGAGGCAGGGCGCTGTGAAGTGAGGTAGGGCGCTGTGAAGTGAGGCAGAGGTGTTTGGGAGGCGGAGTGCAAAGACAGGGATTCTCTGTGTAGCCCTGGCTGTTGTAGAACTCACTCTGTAGTCCAGGCTGGCCTGGAACTCACAGTGACCCGCCTGCCTCTGCTCCCGAGGGCTGGGATTACGGGTGTGCGCCACCGATGAAGCTGCTGTACTTTCAGTCCCCTTGAGGACAGGGCAATGGAATCTAAGAAACAAAGATTCATGAGGAGGTACCTGTCTTGAGCATGATGTCTCAAGGGTGACAACAGTCTAGAAAGGATGGTTCCTTAGGGTAGGGAAGAAAGTAAAAACAAAATCCAGAGTAAAGATTTGCTCAGGATTTGTACATAAAGGGAACTCCTGAAGCCATCTGTAAGGGACAGGCACTGTTGAAGGTCCCAGCTTGCACAGGTCATAGGCTCCCCAAAAAGGGACATTTTAAAAAGTTTATCTTTATTCATGCGTATATATGTTGATATAGGCACGTGTGTGTGGGGGGTGCCCATGGATACCAGAACAAGGTCTCAGATCCCTTGGAGCAGAGGCTGTTGTGAACTGGCCAACATGGGAACAAACTTGAACCTTAACTGATGAGTAATCACTCCTGCACCAGGAAGGCACTTTAGTGGCATCCCTTTTATGTAACTCAGTGTTGACAGTCAGGGAATACACACCTGTCCAGAGCCTTCAAGATTTTCAGATTTCCACTTTTCTCTCCAGGTATCTATAGAGAAAAGGTATTGGGTGGGCTAGCGGGGGCCCCAACAGGGATGATGAACCTGCCTACTTCAAATGGGATGGTGACTAAGAAGTGCAGGCAAGTCATCTGTTAAATGCACAAGGCAGGGGAAGAGCCTCAGTTTCCAGACACTGAGCAAGTCATCTATAAAATGCTCAAGGCAAGGAACAGAGTTCTAGTCTCAGTTGACAGAGAACTGATTAGAACATCACAAGGCTTGCTGGTCACCAGACTGTGCTTCCATTATGAGCTGGGTGATAGTTATTGCACAAGAATATTAAAGTCTCATGTTAATCTTGCCAATTTGTTTAAAAAAAAAAAGAAAAAGAAAAAAGAAAACAACCACAAAAAGTTAGCCGGGTGGTGGTGGCTCACGTCTTAATCCCAGAATTTGGGAGGCAGAGGCAGGTGAATCTCAGTAAATTGGAGGCTAGCCTGCTCCACAAAGCAAGTTCCAGGACAGCCAGGGGACTGTTACAGAGAGAAACCCTGTCTGGGGGGGGGGCGCGGACCCAAAACCTTAAGTCAGGGGCTAGTGTAACATTGTAGCACATCCCCAGCATGCTCAAAGCCCTAAACTTGATTTCCATCATCCTCACCACCACCACCACCATAAAAAAATAAACAAAAAGCATTTCACACCTAAAAAGATTAATGTTTAATAATGGAGCCTGAGCATGCTGGCTGTCACTCCAGCACTTGGGAGGTGAAGGAAGATGTGGGGCTTGGAGATGGCTCAGGAGTTAAGAGCACTTGTTCTTGCAAAAGACTCATGTCTAGTTAGTTCCCAGCACCCACATGGTGGCTTACAATCATCCATAGCTCCAGTTCCAGAGGATCCAACACTTTCTCTGACCTCCATGGGCACTGCATTATGTGGGAGAAACATACATAGTCATACAAAAGAAATTTAAAAATTAAAAAAAAAGGGCCCAGCCTGGGTTACGAGAGACCCTGTTACAATAGATCTTAACTTTCGGCTTTCTCATACTCTACTATTCCATGTTCTTTTTGCTTAGTAATGACATTTTCATCAATTTCTTTCACCCATATTTTTTTTTCCCATTGAGAAAAATTTACTGTAATTTTAAAAGCTCAAAGACACAAGAAAGTTAAAAAAATGTTTTTTAACTGGGTCTCTCTATGTAGCCCTGGCTGTCCTGAAACTTGTTATGTAGACCAGACGGGCTTGGACTCACAGAGATCCTCTTGCCTCTGCTTCCTGAATCATTAAAAGTATTTCCTTTCACCTTTAATCCCAGCACTCAGGAGGCAGAGGCAGGCGGATCTCTGTGAGTTCGAGGGCAACCTGGGCTACAGAGTGAGTTCAAGGAAAGGTGCAAAGCTACACAGAGAAACCCTGTCTCGAAAAACCAAAAAAAAAAAAAAAAAAAGTATTTCCTTTCAGTGTTTTGTTTTTAAAGTTTTTCTTTCTGTTTTGTTTTGTTTAACAAAACTCTGCTACCCTCTCAGAAGTGAACTTCTGAATCTTGTGGTAAACCAGGCCCGAGGGAGAAGATTTTCCAGATGAATTGTTTGTGCCTGATTACACAATCTGTCCACAGGGAACAACCAGCCATGAGGAAACTGCATTTGAATTTAACCCAGATGCCTGGTACACATTTCTGCCGACTCAACAGTGGACTCGGTTTAACTGTGTGGCTGGGCAAACGTTTACTAACAACTTGATGGCTTTCTCCCTCGTGGTAGTCTTTCTGAAGTCTGCAGGTCTTTCCCAACATATATTCTATTCTTAAGTTCATTTTCATTTGTCTTTCAGTCAAACTTAATTTTGTTTGTTTTACTGTCCACAAAAATGCAGCTACATGCCATATTCTCTAGTCACAACCTTTTTGTCTCATAATTTTTTTAAAGGGAAAAAAGGTATTTCTTCTTTTTGTTTATTTGTGTGTGTGTGTTTTTTAAAGATTTATTTATTATGTATACAGCATGTATGACCAGAACTCAGGACCTCTGGAAGAGCAGTCGGTGCTCTTAACCTCAGAGCCATCTCTCCAGCCCGTCTCATAATTTAAAAAAATATATTTATTTATTATGTATACAGTGTTCTGTCTGCATGTATCCCTGCAGGCCAGAAAAGGGCACCAGATCTCATGATAGATGGTTGTGAGACACCATGTGGTTGCTGGGAATTGAACTCAGGACCTTTGTAAGAACAAGCAGTGCTCTTAACCTCTGAGTCATCTCTCCAGCCCCCATAATTTTTTTTAAAGACTTTTATTTTATGTGCATTGGTGTTTTGCCTGCCTGTATATCTGTGTAAGGATGTCAGATCCTCTGGAACTGGAGTTACAGACAATTGTGAGCTGCCATGTGGGTGCTGGGAATTGAACCTGGGTTCTCTGGAAGAGCAGCCAGTGCTCTTAACCACTGAGCCATCACTCTAGCCATGCCTTACAACTCTTCCTGACATTCATTTCTAGAAAAGTCTGTCATCCGTAGCTGCCATCACTCCCACAGTTACCATGTCCTCTATTTTTCCCCTCTGATTCATCTCTAATGTGTTTTCCATATCACTGCTGCTGTGCATGTTGGTGTGAAATCTTCCGAGGACTAGAGTTCAATTCCCAGCACCTCCATCAGACAGCTCACAACTACCCACAATGCCAGTTGCATGGGACCAGCACTCTCCTCTGGCCTGCATGGCACCTGCACGTATGTAACAGATACACAGCTGAACAAAAGTATTTTTTTAATTAGAGGCTCAAGGCTGGAGAGACAGCTTGGTGCTGAGGAGCACTTGATGGTCTCAGAGGGCTGGGTTCTATCCCAGCACCCACAAGTGGCTCACAGCCATCTATAGCTCCAGTTCCAAGGGATGCAACATCCTCTTCTGGCCTCCATGGGTATTGCATACACATGATGCATTTATATACATTCAGGCAAAACACTTGTACACATAAAATAAAAAAAACCAAATCTTTAAAATTAAAGAGTTTGTAAAACTCAAGAAGTCAGAAAAGACGCAGAAAAACAAAACCAAAACAAAGTAGAATGAGAGGAATAATAGAGACAGAAACTAACAAACCAGAAAACAACCTAAAATATCCAGGCATGGTGACACATTTCTGTAATCCCAAGAATTGAGGTAGAAGCAGAAGGGTTTTGGAATTCAAGGCCATCCATAGCCACATAGTGATCTGGAATTCAACCTAGGACAGGGGAGGGACCAAAAACAAAGATCAACAAAACTAATACTTTGTTCCTTTAAAAATTCCAAGAACAAAAGAAAAGTGTAGGTAAAGTTTCTTTACCTAAAAACTCTAGAGTCAGGCATGATCAATGTGTTAGTTACCTCTGCGCTGCTATGATATGGAGACAGGATGGTCAATGTGTTAGTTACCTCTGCACTGCTCGGATATGGAGACAGCATGGTCAACGTGTTAGTTACCTCTGCGCTGCTAGGATATGGAGACAGGATGGTCAATGTGTTAGTTACCTCTCTATTGCTGTGATAAAACACCATGGCCAAAGCAATCGATAGAAAGAAGAGTTTATCTGAGTTTATGGTTTCAAAAAGATAAAAGTCCATCATGGCAGGGAGGCATGTGGGCAGAAGCAGGAAGCTGGGAGATCACATCTCAATCCCAAGCAGGAAACAGAAAGTGAACTGGAAGTAGGGTGAGGCTATATACTCTCAAAGGTGACACAAACTTCCTCCAGCAAAGCCACACCTCCTAAACCTCCCCAAGAGTATCCCAGCTGGGGCCCCCATGTTCAAACGCCTGAGCCTCTGGGGGCATTTTCCTACACATCACCACAGTCACTAATACATAAAGCAAAGGCTGTTAGGATGAAAACTGCCTGAAGGGTCTGGAGTAAGATCATTCACAGCCTCAGCACGCTTCAGCAGAATGCAGTGAAGTAGGACAAACTTCCAAATGGAATAGGTCCTGGGTAGAGTAACAATATTGTTGACATTAGATATCTTCAAAAGCTAGATTCTATTTGTTTTTTGTTTTTTTTCTTTAGAGACAGGGTTTCTCTGTGTAGCTTTGTGCCTTTCCTGGAACTCACTCTGTAGACCAGGCTGGCCTCGAACTCACAGAGATCCACCTGCCTCTGCCTCCCGCGTGCTGGGATTAAAGGCGTGCGCCACCACCACCCGGTAAGAACATCTTTCAAAAGTGCCTGCCTACTTAGGAGCGTGACACCCGGGAGAAGTC